TCACTGCCAACAGGAGGTACTCAGCACACAGCAAGCCGAGGGACTCTGCTTTCAAAGCAGATGTGGAGAAGAGGACTAAAATTTCCAGTATACTCCCTGCTTTCTCCCCTGCCAGATTCAAGGTATCGGGTTTTATGCTGAGGTCCTCAATCTGTTTGTGATTGAGGTTTGTACAGAGTGAGAGATGGGGCTCTAGTTTCATTCTCCTGCATGTTCTATCTAGTTTTCTAGCACCATTTGCTGAAAATGCTGTCTTCTGTCCAATGGGTATTTTCAGATTCTTTGTCAAAAATCAGGTCCCTGTAAGTATGTGGAATTCATCCTGCATCTTCAATCCAATTCCATTGACCGAAGTTCCTGTTTCTGTTTTTATGACTGTGTCATGCTGTTTTGAATGATATTGCTTTGTAGTATAATTTGAAATCTGGCATGGTGATGGATAGATGATAGGTAGATAGATAGATAGATAGATAGATAGATAGATAGATAGATGATAGATAGATAGAGAGATAGATGATAGATGGATGGATAGATGGATGGATGGATGACAGATGATGGATGGATGGATGGATGATAGATGATATATAGATAGATGATAGATAGATAGATAGATAGATAGATGAACTTATTAGTATTCATTTTAAAAATTATCCATTCCTGTTCTCCTTTCTAAATCTTATAGTGCATTTGTTTTCATATATACGTGCATACATTGTAGGCTAGGCTCGGCATATGAGAGACAACATTCATTATTGTTGTCTTGGTTTGTTTGTTATTTTTCAAAAACAGGATGATCTCAGAATTATAGATTCTCAGTACATCAAATTTCCTGTAAATTGTTGTTATATTTTTCCTATCGCTGAGTAGTATTCTATTTTCTATTTTTTAGTTTATTTAATAACCACATAATTGGTAGAAGCATTTCATTACAACAGCATTGACAGAATCAATAAGAGTTTCCAGAGCAAAGATGCAACTCTTTCAAAATTGGCTGTAAATTTTTAGGTGGGGGTGGTGATAGAGGAAGAGGTCTGAATATGATCAAAATGCTTTGACTTCAATACCCCACTTTCTCCAATAGACAGATCAACTGGATAAAGAACAAACAGAGAGACATCTGACTTAAATGACATCTTACATGAAACGGATATAAGACATCTACAGAATATGCTGCCTGAGCACCAAAGAACACACTTTCTACTCAGCAGGCCATGCAAGTTTCTCTAAAATTGACCATATTCTGGGACACAGAACAAATATCAACAAATACAAAGAATTGAAATAATTTCATGCATTCTATCAGATCACAGTGCAATAAAGCTTGTAATCAACAGTAAAAGAAGCTCTAGTAACTAGCTGAACTCATGGAGATTAAACAACACACTCCTGAATGATGCCCTCTTACCGTGTACTCAATAAATTATTCTTCCTATAGTGCTGTAAGGGTGTCAACCCAGTTCCCTACATCACTGGTCTAAATATGGACCCCAGTGTCCAAGCTGGAATTTTAAGGACTAGAATTAAAGCAATTCCATTTAAAAGGGGTTTATTAACTCTTGTTGCAAGATCAAACTTTTAATAAGGGAGAAGTTCTTGAGGTGTGAGGTAAGGAGTCAGGCAGGGGCATCAACTCTGCAAGCAGTTGAGACTCAGTCTGTGTAGAGGCCCAAGGAAGAGGAATGTCCTCTGTCCTCCCCCCATTCCTTGAAGCTGTCCATCACACATCTGCTCCCATGACAAGATCACACACCTCACATGGGGAAAGGTGATCCAGGTCAATAAAAATGAATGAATCAGGTCCCCAGGTGAGGCAGCATGGGGTACGGAGGGTCCAGGTTGTGCTCTCTGAAGGTCCTTACTCTTCAGCCAACATCAGGGATGGAGCAGAAGGTAGATGAAGGGCTCACACAGCAACAAGGTGGAAGCATCCCACGTTTGCAAGGAGATGAGAACATGTACATGCAGGAACAAGACAGAAAATCAGGAGTGCTGCTGGGCCTAGGCCTGAGGAAGGAAAATCAGAAGCGTGAGAGAGTACCAGGCACTGGCCTGGAGCTTATGCACACGGAGGAGACTAAGTAGAAGAAAGTGGGTCCTGGAGGAGGAAGGTAGGGGAATGCATGGATATATTTACAGTAACCCCAATGATAGGTAAAAAGTTGGCGGAGAACGAACGAATGGAGGAGGAGGCACCAAGACACAGATAAAATTCTCAGCAGGATAGAGCTTTATTTCACATGGGACACATCCTGGAGCTTATGCACACGGAGGAGACTAAGTAGAAGAAAGTGGGTCCTGGAGGAGGAAGGTAGGGGAATGCATGGATATATTTACAGTAACCCCAATGATAGGTAAAAAGTTGGCGGAGAACGAACGAATGGAGGAGGAGGCACCAAGACACAGATAAAATTCTCAGCGGGATAGAGCTTTATTTCACATGGGACACACCTCCTTCGGGGAAGGGAAAATTTCTGCCCATGGGGGATTGTGATCTAGGGCTTACATGGGGGTTCTGATCTAGGGCTTACATATGAGGGTTTCAGGGTGCTGAAGGCAGGAAGTTTTTTGGGAAAAATCAGGCGTGGGGGAAGCAGGAAAAGCAAGGCTTGTAAACCTCCCTCCGTTCCATCTGCCAGCCAGGATCTGAGTCAGGAAGTGTTTACTTTTTTGTCCCCCTAAGATAAGGGAAAAGCTGCTGTACTAAAACAGCACATGCTTTCATGCTGCAGACTCACACATCAACAATCCAGGCAGTGACGTCCACATGCACAGAGGAAGAGCCGTAGGGAGTCAATTTCATCTTCTGATTTAAAAACACAGGGCTGATCCCCACATGCAAATTCATCTTCTTCTCTAAGTTAAATCACCCTCCTTGCCTGTGGGAGTTCATACCTCTGAGGAAGGGCTCACAGGGGGCTGAGGTTTCTGAGGAAGAAGGGTACGGCCTAGAAGATGAGATTGCTGGGCCTTGTCCTGTACCTGGTAACAGCTCCTCAAGATGAGTGTCACCATGTAACAGGTTTCCCTGTGGGGGTTGTAACAACAGGAGGCTGACAGTGAAGGTTTCTTCTTGTCCCCAGGTGTGCTGTCACAGGTGCTGGTGAAGGAGTCACAGCCAGGCTTGGTGAGGCCCTCAGAGACACTGTACCTCACCTGCATGGTCTTTGGTTACGCCATTACCAGTGGTTATGACTGGACTTGGATCCGGCAACTTCGAAGGAAAGGCCTGGAGTGGATGGTGTACATAACTCCTTGTGGTGGCACTGATTACAATCCATCCCTCAAGAGCCACATGTCCATCTCCAGGGACACGTCCAAGAACCAGTTCTCTCTGAAGCTGAACTGTGTGACTACTGAGGACACAGCCATGTATTATTGTGCAAGATGCCCAGGGAGGAGACTTCAAAGTGAGCTCGTACACAAACAAACCCTGCAGAGGGTACTCAGGACCAGCAGGGGGTACACAGCATACAAGCCCCGACACTCAGTTTCAGAGCAGGTGCCCAGAAAAGATTGGAGTCTTCTCTGCCCTTAAATGTCTTCTCCCTAAGGATATCAGGCATAGGAGAACGTTTCTCTCTCTGACTGTGCAGCATTGTGTTTGCATGGAGTCTCCCTTATCTGCACCTCTCCATTTCTCCCAAGACAGTGTACATAATATTTCTTAATGCAACATTTGTTTGAAACTCACATGGCCCCAGAATGTCATTAGTTATTACATATAAATCATTAATGACCAGATTAACTGCACATGCCCTCCACCTTCAGATGCGTCTGTGTGACCACATATACTGCTGAAATTGACCTAGATCTGCTCACAGAAACCATTACCAAGAATGGCTGGTGTGCCGTGTGGTGACTGCACGGCTGAACATCGCTGCAGCTCTGCTGCCCTCCACTAAGAGATGTTCAGCCCTTCCTGGAGACAATGTGGATAGTGTTAGCTGTACTGGGATTCTCCCTGTCTCTGTGAGTACAGACCATTGATGCTTTCACGCACCTGAGGATGCACAAGGCAGAGCCCATGGCAGACGACAATATACACACGAATGCCAATATTTCTGAGGTAAAGAACTCTGCTGAGAAGCCTTAAACCTTGTTTGTCCACACAGAACCAAGCGATTCTCCCTGTCTCTGTGAGTACAGACCATTGAAGCTTTCACGCACCTGAGGATGCACAAGGCAGAGCCCATGGCAGACGACAATATGTACACAAATGCCAATATTTCTGAGGTAAAGAACTCTGCTGAGAAGTCTTAAACCTTGTTTGTCCACACAGAACCAAGAAAGCCTGTGGAGCTGGAGAAGTGTCCCCACTGTAGGCTCTTCTGCAGCAACTGGTTCCATCCCAAGTCCTGCCTCTGTGCCCCCAAAAGGAACTGAAGTACATGCTGCCTGCAGTTTGTTCTCAGTAAACATGTTCTGACCAGAGGAGAAATAGATTCCAGCGTGTTCTCAGAGCAGTAGTGCCCACGGCTCACACACAGGTACTTGGTGCTGAGGGAATGAGTCACCTGACCTCTGATCTATGGAGTAGGCTTCCTTATGATTTTTTAAACCCCTTTAATACCAGTCACCCCTCCAACTCTCCTTTGCTCTGACACCCATTCGCAACCCATTTAACCCTCTTGTTCTGTTGCTCCCCTCTCCCTTTTATGTCCCTGTATTCTGTCTCCAGTCCCCAAAAGCTCCCAGTTCCATGGCTTCTAACAGGTTTCCTGAAAACTATGAATTTTCCAATTTAAACAGACCTGGCTAAGAGTCATAGCTACCATCTAATTAGGAGAGAGAACATATTAAATTTTTCTTTCTGGGTCTGGGTTAACTCACTCAGGAAGTTTGTTTCCAGGGTTATCCATTTATCTCTGAATTTCATAATTTTGTTTTTCTTACCAACTGAATAAAATTCCCTTATGTAAATGTTCCATATTTTCAGAATCCTTTCATCAGTTGATGGACATCTAAGTTGTTCCTAGTTCTAGGTTATTGGGAACAGAGCATCAAGGAACAAGAATGAGCAGGAATCTCTGCAGTGAGAAATTTGTCATTTGTGTATATGCCCAAGTGTGGTATGGCTGGATCCTGCTGCGGATCTATTTCTACCCTTTTGAGGAAACTCACCCCTGGTTTCCATCGTAGATGCATCAGTTTTCACTCCCACCAGCAGTGAATAAGTGTCCCCCTCCCCCCACATCCTCCCAGCATTTGTCCTTTGCTTTTTGAATCTTAGCCGCTCTGACTGGAGTAAAATGAACTCTCGAAGTAGTTTTAATTTGATTTTCTGATATCGAAAAATGTCACACATTTTAAATATATCATTCGGTCATTTTGCTTCATATATGTATATGATGCATTCGGATTACTCTAACCCTGGTCCTCTCTGAGCTCCTTCCGACCTCTGTCACCTCCCCTTCCTACCTACATGTCTCTATCCCAGCTCTTCGTGTCAGTGATTCTTTGTGTATATGGTTTTCATTTCTGTTTCAGGAATTTTGCCCTGATCTTTGTCACTCCTCTTTTTGTACCACTTTTAGAATCATTTTTTTCTTATTTTTCGAAAGCTTTAAGATTCATCATCAGGGAAAAAATTTATATCACTCTGATTTTTTAATGTTGGCAATTATATCTATCAGCTTCCCTCCTAGAACTGCTCTAATAGCATGTAATAGATTTGGGCATATTTAAAAATTTCCATTCTACCATTGATTTTAAGAAGAATTAGTCTCTGATTAAGGCTGGAATTAGTATTTGTCCAGGGATATAAACATAGATGTTGAGAGGTTTCGGATGCCATAGCATTATAGTTAAACATAAAGTGTAACTGCCCTCCCAAGGCCTATGACCTACCAACAGTGGGTTTCTGACCATGTTTACAGAAATAGGAATGAAATCCCATAGACAGAGCTGGCTTAAAATCCCACTGGAGAGAGATTGGCTGCTACCAAATCAGTTGTGCCATTGTTACAAGAGTTGGAACATCTTGCCTAGTCAGGTGGAACTCTACTTGCTAGGATTCACAGCTGGGGAACCACTAATGACTACTGCAATATCTGTAAGAATGCTCAGGAAATTTTAAATCAACTCCAAACTACAAGGAGGAGAAAACAGAGCTTTCCTGAATGAATTTTATGATCTATAATAGAAGAAAATGGCATTTTCCACACTTTATGACTTGCAATGCAAGACTGACCGCAAATAGGGTGAATTTGATTGTCATTCTTGATGGTGTCCATCTTTGAATCTTTGCAAAAATTTGTTTACCTCTCAAAAGCCCAAGAAATGATTTCTTGGCCGGTGGTCTATACTTGTACACGCTCAGCTGTTGAAAGTCTGAGTCCCCAGTGTGCGCTGACCTCCACAAACATGCGAATTTCAATGCTCATCATCACTTCTCAATGGAAAACTGAGCTCCATGTTTCATACAGGTTTCTGTCTGTTGGTGGTGGTTTTGATGCTTAGTGACTCTCCAAGAAGCATCTGTCTGTCTCTATTGTTACTGAGTTTAAGAGGCAAGAAATGTCTTCCATGTGAGTTACAGAAGTGTCACAGATGTGCTGTCTACTTTTGATTCGATGTTAATGAGCCAACAATTTGAGGCAGTTGTAAAAAGAAAAGAAAATCTAATGATCTGAGGCAGAGACTTCTTTGCAATTGTCACAGTGTCTCCAACTGTGTGTGATAAAGCATTTAGGGCAACTTGACTACATGACTGGATTCACGAGGTCAGGACAAATAAACACGGTTCAGTGAGCAGCACTGTGTAAAGCTGAGAGGCAATGGATCTATGGTCACATTATCCAGGATGAGGGTGAGGCTCAGCCTACATGGCTGTGGCTGAAACAAGATGAGCTCAGTCAACATGCAGGTGAGGAACATTCTGTACACAGGAAATTGGAAGCTAACTTCATGTATCTTTCAATTATTGTGGAAGAAAAGAGTGATATGGAAGAGCAGTTCTGAACACTCAGGAGGCTGATTGACGGTCTGCTAAGATATCTGCAAACAAGCCTCAAATAAATGTAAGAGTCCAATTGACAGCAATATGATCAGAGGCTAGCAAGATGAAATCCTGAGTTTCCCCGAGGTGTGATTATTTAGTATGCCATATTTCAGTGTTTGCATTACATTTTTGGTGTGCAAATACCTCAGGCAAGGGATACAGATTTTGTGTGCTTGTAATTACTCAAATAGCCATGGCTCATTTATTTCCCCCTCTTTTCAGAAAACCTGAGGACACAACCATGTATTACTGTGCGAGACACCTAGTAAGAGACTTAGGTTTTCTGATAAAATAACTCTGTCATATACTTTATGGCTCATAGAGTCCTTTTGTGTCCCCAAATGTCCTTCAGTGCATCTATCCACTGACCCGAGCTTCCCTGGATCTTGCACATGCTGTCAGCATTGTTGTAAGTTCATATGAGTCTATTTCCAGCAGTCTGGAGGCTCTTGCTCCTCGTAGCCATCTACCACCTCTGGCTCTGACAATCTTTCTGCCCCTTCTGCAATGGTCCCTGAACCTTGGGTGGTAGAGGTTTGACATATGTGTCCAATCCAGTGATAAACACTCTGCATGCTTTTTATGAAAGCATTAAATCACTCACATAGCCATGAAGAACTCCAGGGGTAGTAAAAGTTGATGCTGTTTACAACAAAGAACTCCATGCATCTTTCCATCTGGATGGTCACATTGCAACTCTAAGGCAAGGTCTGAAGACACCAACTGCTACTGAGTTCCGTGCTCTTTGTTTCTGCCCTGACTGAACCAGACCCAGTCGGTGATTTCAGGTTCCTTTCCTGACCCAGTGGGAGCATGTGGAATCATTTAACCATTCTATGAAAAGAATATTCAGAAAAACACATGTATGGGAAAATACTTATTTTAGTCATTTTGATACATAAACCTTATAAGGCAGGGAATTATAAAACATACCTAAGCCATCTAGAAAGTTAAACTGATTCTGAGACCTTGAACATTTTATGGCAAAAATAATTTTCATTTATCCTAAAAGGATCACATAAAATAAGTGTCCATGTATTCATAATCATAAAAATAATTAATTGAACAAATACATAGGGATAAGTACCAGTATCCCAATTAGAAGAGCCTTTCAAGTACAGTTTGGAAATGCCCTTGAACACTGAATTCTTCAGTGTGAAATGTCTTTAATGACTTCCTTCTGGAGAACTCCATAGAGAATAGGAATCTTAGCATACACATACAGATCACAGCACAGAATATCACCCCCAAGAAATAAAAATTTTAAATGCCAGAGTAGGCAGCCTCAGAGCATGTGCCCTGACCTGCCGAGACAAAACAACATCTATTTCTGTGATTATTAGCCAAAACTCAGCCTAACTATGAGAAAAATATCAGACACATCCAGACTGGGACAGCCTATAATGTCCACAAATCTGGGTGACTGCTGTTGGGTGAAGGAATGACTCTAGATAGGCTGACGAGACTGCAGTGGATAAATTTGCACAGAGACATCTGAGTACACAAACTTGATTTGATAGGCCTTAACATATATAACAGGATGTGAGAAATTCAGTGGCAGGAGCTGTGGTGGGGTGCAGAGGGGGGCATATAAAATGACTAAGATGTTTTTGTAAGACATGCACAAAAATTCAATAAAAATATACCATGAGAGTTAGTCTTCAAGGAGGAGGCTGCCAGCTCAGTTCCAGCTCAATTGCCCTAAATCCGATATCCAAAGTATGGCTTGTCTTCAGAAATAGGGTCTAACCTTCAAATACTGGTGGACAATTAAGTGCTATGGCAATAGCCTGTGCCATTGGGAGCGTCTCTTGGACTACCCTGACCAAC